ACTCTTGTGCAAATTGGTTAGAGGGGATCTGTACACAAGTTAAGTGAGAAAAAGAGAAAAACTACTAATGGCAGCAGAAGCCAGATGTGCAGGCGAGCCTCAGCTCACATTTAGATAACACAGGTTTGAAGAAAACTGATTTTGAAAGTTGAAATTGTTGTCCTTGCATGGTCTTCATCTGAAGGTAACAAAGCTTTTCAAAGCAGCAAAGGGTTTTTGTTTAAAGGGTTTCTTCATTAAATCAAACAAATTAAATAGGCTGAGTTGTAGCTCACAATAGACCCCAGACTTCCACAGGCTTCAGTATCAGATCTAAACTTTAGAATTATGATAAGAAATATACGCCAGAAAGTAAAGAAAGTTCATTTGCTTACTTAACTGAAAATTATTATATTCCCTTACACATTGTTGTAGGCTGAATAATGGCCCCTCTCAAATGTCCATGTCCTAATTCCTGGAACCTATGAAAATGTTACTTTAGTTGATTTTATAGATGTGATTAAGCTAAGGATCATGTGATGATGTGATTATCCTGGATTATCCAGGTGGGCCCAACACAATTGCAGGGGTTCTTACATGACAGGAGGTTGGAAAGTCAAGAGTAAGACAAGAAGACTCAAAGATGGAAACAGAGGTTGGAAAGGAGAGAAGATGTTATAGTGCTGGCTTTGAATATGGAGGAAGGGGCCATAAGCCAAGGAAAGCAAGTGGTCTCTAGAAGCTGGAAAAGGCAGGAAACAGATTTTCCTCTTGAGCTTCCAGAAGGAATGCAGTCCTGCAGACACCTTGATTTTAAGTTTTCTGACCTCTAGAAAAGGAAGATAATAGATGAGTATTGTTTTAAGCCACTAAGTTTGTGGTAATTTGTTACAGCAGCATAATACACATAATATTTTGAGATTTTGAGAGTAGCAAGAATGATTACTCTGTGTGGTGCATCTTAGATTCCAAAATTTATTTGTTTTCCTTCCAAGGCTAGGTGTTCCTGAATCGTGCAACACTGAAATGAAAGGTTTTCTTACAACTAAAACATATTTTCTCCCCTCCAACACATGACCTAACTGTCAAGGTGTGGCATATATTTAACATTTCCTCTCTGGAAAAACTGAATCTTTTCCTAATTTCTATTTTTCATTTTCCTCATAACTACCACAGGCACTTACTTCATCATTACTGCTAGTGGGCATGAGTCTGTAAGAAGAATTATTCCAATTTTATAGACAAACCAAATACAGGTTTATTGTATTCTAAAGGTCAGTGCACAATTATTGGGGTTACTAATTGACTTTAATTTTTTATGAGACTTTCAGAAATTTATAGTATATGTTCATCTGCATCTGCTATAAAAATAATTTAACAATTGGCAGTATTTCAAAAAGTCTTAAAGAAAACACTGCCGGGATAAAAACCACTGGTGAATTGTGAAATGTCTTATCAAGGCTAGGTTTCACCCAAGCTGTGACAAGGAATTTTTAGGTTGTAGAACAAACTTATGATTACCAGTGGGAAAAGATGGGGGGGGTGAAGGGATAAATTGAGAATTCAGGATTTGCAGATACTACTATATACAAAATAGATAAACAAGGTCCTACTGTATAGAACAAGGAACTATATTCAATACTTTGTAATAACCTGTAATGAAAAGAATATGAAAAGGAATATCTATCTATATAAAACTGAATCACTATGCTGTATGCTAGAACTTAATAAAACATTGTAAACTGACAATACTTCAATTCAAAAAATTAAAAAAAAAGAAATGAGTAAAAAGCAAAGGAATAGTATTTGTGGCTGTAACCTGTGGGAAAAAGAAGGCTGCTTTGGTGATTTTACTTCTGCCATTTGTCTGTCTTTAAATAAATTGAAAATGTAACAGAAGAACTATACCACTATAATTTAATGTACTACACTGTATTGTTTATTGATAGAACATAGAAGTAGCAAAATTATACTACTTCAAAACCTGTTCTATAAAATTATTTTGATATCTGCTACCCTCTACCCACAGTCTTTATTACTTCATTTCAACAGCTTTTGTTTATTATTTACAGACTTCAGCAGAAGTTCTGTCCAATAATTTTTTTCAAGACAAGAGATATCTAGATTGAGTGGCAATTCAGACAATCCTAGAAACCTCTGGGACTACTCCACTACTGTTCTTAACATGTGTGCTTCCCTGCTACAGTGACTATAAAGAACCACATTTATAAGAGTCATATTTCAACATCCAGAAAACATGTCCAAATAGTTCGAATGGCTAAGGAATGAATCATATTCCCTCTCTCTCTCTCTATTTTTCCCCTCTGTGTTACATTTGATGTTTAATTTCATTTGCTATTTCCTTATGAGGTGAAATATAATTTTATTTTTGCAACATTTCAATATTATGGCTTGGAATTTGATCAATAAATCATGTATTTATTTCACTTTATATATAGTTTTTTTAACTTTTTTATTGATTTGTAATCATTTTACAATGTTGTGTCAAATTCCAGTATTCAGCACATTTTTTCAGTTATACATGAACATATATATATATATATATATATATTCATTGTCACATTTTTTTCTCTGTGAGCTATCATAAGATTTTGTGTATATTTCCCTGAGCTATACAGTATAATTTAGTTTATCTATTCTACAATTTTCAAATCCTGTCTATCCCTTCCCACCGTCCGCCCCCTTGGCAACCACAAGTTTGTATTCTATGTCTATGAGTCTATTTCTGTTTTGTATTTATGCTTTTTTGTTGTTGTTGTTGTTGTTTTTGTTTTTTAGATTCCACATATGAGCAATCTCATATGGTATTTTTCTTTCTCTTTCTGGCTTACTTCACTTAGAATGACATTCTCCAGGAGCATCCATGTTGCTGCAAATGGCATTATGTTGTCAATTTTTATGGCTTAGTAGTATTCCATTGTATAAATATACCACATCTTCTTTATCCAGTCACCTGTTGATGGACATATAGGCTGTTTCCATGTCTTGGCTATTGTAAATAATGCTGCTATGAACATTGGGGTGCAGGTGTCATCCTGAAGTAGGGTCCAGGACAGGACGGCTTCACCAGGGAATTCTACCAAACATACAAAGAAGAACTCATACTAGTCCTTCTCAAACTCTTCCAGATGACTGAAAAGGAGGGAATACTCCCAAACTCATTCTATGAAGCCACCATCACCCTGATACCAAAACCAGGCAAAGACACCACCAAAAAAGAGAATTATAGGTGAATATCACTGATGAACATAGACTCCAAAACCCTCACCAAAATGTTAGCAAATAGAATCCAACAACACATAAAAAAGATTATACATCATGACCAAGTGGGGTTCATCCCAGGGACACAAGGGTGGTTCAACATATGCAAATCAATCAATGTAATACATCACAGCAACAAGAGAAAGGACAAAAACCACATGATCATCTCAATCGTGGGTATAGAGGGAACATATCTCAACATAATAAAAGCTATATATGACAAACCTACAGCCAGCATAGTACTCAATGGTGAAAAACTCAAAAGCTTCCCACTAAATGTGGGATAAGACAAGGATGCCCACTATCACCACTCCTATTCAACATAGTCCTGGAAGTCCTAGCCACAGCAATCAGGCAAGAGAGAGAAATAAAAGGGATCCAAATTGGAAAAGAAGAGGTAAAAGTGTCACTATACGCCGATGACATGTTACTATATATAGAAAACCCTAAAAGGTCCACATAAAAACTACTAGAGCTGATTGAAGAATTCAGCAAGGTAGCAGGTTACAAGATTAATGTTCAAAAATCAGTTGCATTTCTTTACACTAACGATGAATCAACAGAAGAAGAAAGTAAAGGAACAATCCCCTTTAAAATAGCACCCAAAGTAATAAAATATCTGGGAATAACTCTAACCAAGGAGGTGAAAGAATTATACACAGAGAACTATAAACCATTGATGAAGGAAATTAAAGAAGGCTTTAAAAAATGGAAAGATATCCCATGCTCTTGGATTGGAAGAATCAATATTGTTAAAATGGTCACACTGCCCAAGGCACTCTACAGATTTAATGCAACCCCTATCCAATTACCCAGGACATACTTCACAGAACTAGAACAAATCATAATAAAATTTATATGGAACCATCAAAGACCTAGAATTGCTAAAGCATTAGAAAGAGGCTGGAGGAATAACTCTCCCAGACTTCAGACAATACTATAGAGCTACAGTCATCAAGACAGCATGGTATTGGTACCAAAACAGACATATAGACCAATGGAACAGAATAGAGAGCCCAGAAATGAACCCACAAACTTTTGTTCAACTCATCTTCGACAAAGGAGGCAAGAATATACAATGGAATGAAGACAGTCTCTTCAGCAAATGGTGTTGGGAAAACTGGACAGCAGCATGTAAAACAATGAAGCTAGAACACACCCTTACA